ACACGCCCCTCTCTCTCTCTCTCTCTCTCTCTCTCTCTCTCTAGCTGCTTGCTGCTGGAAAAACCACAGCTTTTCTTCAGATTTATATATCCAAGCAAGCTCGGCTGAAATTTGGCAGTGTTGAGTTCAAGAGCAGCAAATCTTGGAAAAAAAATGTGGTATTTTTCGAAGTCCGTTCATCCTTTTCTGAGCTACAGTGGTATTTCTTGATCTTTTCTTGCGGGCTTTTAATCTTTGCTCCAAAAAGGGCTTTCCGGAAAATCGAAATTATCCGCGAATACCACAATGTGAGATTTGAAACGGTGAGGCTTGGGACTTTATTCAGTTAGCGCGTATATCTGTGTGCATGTGTGCTTGAAAGTTGCGAGCCATGGTGGCCGCCGTATCTGGAGAAGCTCCGGAACCCCAAAACCCCAAAAACAACGCCACCGCCGCCGCCTCACAAAACGAACATCCGAAGAGGCCGCCATTGTTGCCGTCGGAGAAGGACAACAGCAATGGAGTTCCCAACAAAAACCAGAGGAAACCCAAATCGCGAGTCGTCTCCTCAAGATACATGTCCCCCTCAACTTCCTCCACCTCCACTTCAAATTCATCCTCGATTTCCTCTTCATCTTCTTCCTCTTCGTCCTTGTCTGCTTCCAGAAGGTTCCCCTCCCCTTTAATTTCCAGAAACTCGAACCCTCCATCCAGCACGCCCTCTCTGGTACCCAAGAGGTCCGTCTCCGCCGACCGCCGCCGTCCGACGCCACCTCGGGCGGCGGCGAGACCCCTCCTTCCAGATCTCGACACTGCAAAGAACGGCCATGCCCCCGAAATCTCGTCCGCCGCCAGACTCCTAGTTACCTCCACCCGGAGTTTGTCCGTTTCTTTTCAAGGGGAAGCCTTTTCACTGCCCATCAGTAAAACCAAGGCGACTCCATCTTCCCCTAATTTGAGCACCGTGAGAAAAGTGACCCCGGAGAGGAGGAGAAACAGTTCCCCTTCCAGAAGAAAGGTTGATGGAGGAGATCTCATTGAGAGTTCTAAGCCGTCCGAACAGCACCACCTGTGGCCCGCCAGGAATCGGATTGTCACGGCCACTTCATTATCAAGAAGCTTGGACTGTACTAGGGACAAGACCAATCTGATTGGATCTGTTAACACGGACCGAGGGAGACCGAGTCTTGATTTGGGAAATTGCAATGGGAATTCGGTTGTTAATAACGGATTATCTGTCCCGTGCGATCGAATCCCGTCCGATTCAGACAGTGTCTCATCCGACAGCACTTCGGGGGTCCAGGAGTGCGGTTCNNGGCCCAGAGGTCTTGCTGTCTCGGCCCGGTTCTGGCAGGAGACCAACAGTCGTCTTAGGAGGCTGCAGGATCCAGGCTCACCTTTGTCGACGAGCCCCGGACCAAAACTTATTGTGCCACCCAAACTGAAGAAGTACTCGAGCGATACCCCGCTGTTGTCATCACCAAGGACACTTTCGTCCCCTCTGCGTGGGGCCACTAGGCCTGCGTCGCCCGGGAAGCTCATGAGCCCTGTGGGGTCGTCCCCTTTGCGTGCTCACAGCCCGTCTCGGATCAGAAATGCAGTTAGCACAATTTGCAACAGTTTTCTCGACACACCTTCAGTTCTTAGTTTTGCCGTGGATGTGCGCAGGGGGAAAGTCGGGGAGAATAGGATAGTGGATGCGCACTTGTTGAGGCTTTTGTACAATCGACACTTGCAGTGGAAGTTTGTGAATGCGAGGACTGAGGATGTCCTGCTCGTGCAGAAACATGGGACCGAGGTAAGATTTTATCATGTTATTCTGTTGTGTTTTTTTTTTTTTTTCACCACAGAAATGTAATCTTTTTGGTGTATCTTATGAATTGTTGGGTAGTTGTGTTTTTATACGTAGAACGTTATTGTCGTCTTGGTTCTATTTTGGTTTTTGTTTGAGAGAATTTGTTGTTGGAAGTTGAAAATAATCCGCATGAGGAGTTCAGCTAGTGAAGAAAGCGTTTAGATTAGTTGGTTGACCTGTCATAATGCATTGAGTGTCTTAGTTTGTATGTTTGCATAAATGTGAATTTACTTTTGTAGATATAGAGCCCATATCTACACTAAACAACATGTAGCAACGAAATGGTGTGTCCTTTACTATGCTAAATTAGATATGATTTACGGTACGATGAACATGACCGGTGTCTGAATTTTAAATTTGATAAGATACATGCAGGTAGGAAAGGTATAGAGGGTTTATTCTAACATTTTTTAGGCACGTGAGCTTACTAAATAGTTTAGTATTACAATGCTAATAAATTGAGTCGTTAACTATTTGGATACAGACTTCTTCTCTGTCTAGACTTGGATATTTCAGTTGGGATTAGTGATTGTGAACTGTGCTTTTGATGAACAGGGTTTTGCTAGCTGAAAATCCATAGTACCTAGAAAACATTGACAAGCGTATAAGCAAACCATGAAGTGTACTTTGGGAACCTACAATTGTTTCATCTTGTATTATAGTTTTGTGCTAAATATTGACAAGCATTTAAGAATATCATGAAGTGGACCTACAATTGTTCCATCTTGTATTACAATTTTGTGCTGATGCAGTATCCTGATGTTCTTAGTTGTTACGGCTTACGCTGCAATGCACATGAACTTTGTCCGAGAAAATAATTGGCACAATGGTGCAATAAACATGTGAACTATGTCCGAAAAATTATTGGCACAATGGATTCACTTTATTTATTATCTTTTTTTTTTTTTTTT